ATTATTATTATTATTAATTATTATTATTATTGTTGTATCTTTGAGGATAGGAAAGTTTGAAACAAGATTTGAGTGAAATTGCTATCCTAAAACAGGATAACAGTTCCTATGTCTATTTACAGTCCATAGCACTCTGACCAGTTAGTTCATGTAAGTTTTAACTGACCAGATTCATTTGCCCCGAACCTAAGAGGTTTATGTGCAGATGTTTTACATAGAGCACACAGTAGGTAGTAGCCAATGAAGTTTTTCCCTCAAAAAGTGAATTTTGGGACACTTTTTTAATGTGGTGTTGAAGTGGATATTGTGCAGAGAACTTCCTTTAACAGTTTGGACATGTAACCTGTAATTTATAGGGTAGAACTTTTTTTTCTGTCTGCAGGCAGACAGAAATTAGGCAGGATCTCTCCTTGAATCCAGCAGACAGAATTAGGCTGAAACATTTCAGTCTTCAGGAGATGAGACTTGTGTGTGACATGCAGAGATTTGTCAAGGCAGAATTGCTACCAATGCAGAAAACCTTCGTAATGTCAGGCAGTTACTCACTGACATAAACCCAGATGGTTCCAATATGCAACCCACACCCTGTATTTTAAAGGAGGACAAATAATATTACAGTGTTGGCTTTTTGCCCAGAAAAAGAAAGAAAATATGAAGAGTAATAATGTCACCAACGCTATAGCTTATATCTGGCCACCCATGCTGACAAAAGAATTTGTTACAATTTTTTAGTTTCAGCATTTCGGTCCTCTTTGACATTTGCGGTCCAGGAATTAACTGTGCCTCTGTTCTAGTAACATTGTTTAATCCATAGTCTTGTGATTTTCAGAATTTCTTTGGCCCCGAGTTTGTGAAAATGACGATTGAGCCATTCATCTCCTTGGATCTACCAAAGTCTATCTTGGTAAGAAAGGGGCTATTCACCAGTCAGTGGCAAGCAAAGTGTGTTAAACCAACAAAAGTGCTTTTATAACAAGTGTGAATATTGGAATATTTTATTTCACAAAATGTAGACTAAGAAAGGAAAGAATGATGACACCAGACGAAAAGTAAATGTGATGCTTCTAAGTGGGCAGAAGCTGGAGCTGACCTGTGATACCAAGACGATATGTAAAGATGTCTTTGATATGGTTGTTGCCCATATTGGCTTGGTGGAGCATCACTTGTTTGGATTGGCTGCTTTAAGAGGTAAGAATAATGATTTTATGTAGTTGACAGGGTACTGAATAAGAATAAGCTACGTTGTGTTGAGAAATATTAAGTAGAGACTGCCTGACTGCCTCGCATTTACTTTGAATTACATTCTCTTGCACTGAGGCAAAATGCATTCCTCAATGAAGAGCAACATCCCACAATGAAATTCTACATTTGCCTGGGTGATGGCAACTCATCTTGGGCAGCCTTTTCCCTTTGGTAATGGAGTTTTTCTCCATGCTGTTTGTTGCCTTCACTCTGACGAGTACCCCTCAGAGGATGTGAAAGGGCTTTGGCTTCTGTTAATATGCCTTAGCCAATGTTGCAGCTTCTGGTGGAGGCAGACTGGTTGGGATGCGTCGGAGGGCCTCGTTTAGAGGCAGCTGCCTTAAGAAAAAAGAATTTGCTCCTGAGCTGTTAATTTTTGCTATTAGAACAGACTGCAAATTGGACTCTCTTTTTTTTTTTTCCTTAATTTTCCTGAATAGAAGGTCATTGTGGCAGAACTAACATATTCAGGCCCAAGTTTCCTGTTGCCATATTTTACAGGCTATTGAAGAACTGTAGTGCTCAGAATATTGCCACGAGATAGCAGCTGTTAGCAGCCCAAGAGCTTACTCTGTCCATGTCAGGTGTCCACTGTCCTTGGGAACTTACAAATCCTTGAAAACATTTTGCAGAAATGTAGATGGGACAAAGGTGGTAAGGGAGGGAAGGAATGACAAATTTTGGATTTTGTATGGAATAAGGAATGTGACATTTTAAAGAAACCCTAGCTTCTATTGCATTGCTATCATGGAAGATAATGTTTCTGGTTTTATTTTTTCAGCAGTATCTTTGGAATAACTATAAAATTATTTCTTTTGCTCTTATTCAGTGCTCCTTTTAATAGTTATTGTGCTTATAAGCCATTGTTTAGTCAACAGAAGACCTTACTGTTCAAAACCAAATTCAAGAATATCCTCCAGATGGAGAAAATGTTTGGGTTTAATGTTTTTACCCATGTGCTTCCCTTTCGCGTTCATGGCAGACAATGAATTTTTCTTCGTTGATCCTGACATAAAACTAAGTAAAGTAGCTCCAGAAGGATGGAAAGAGGAACCGAAGAAGAAGAACAAGCCCCCTGTGAACTTCACTCTGTTTTTTCGCATAAAGTTTTTTGTGGATGATGTCAGTCTTATACAGTGAGTGTATGAACAATTTTGTTAACCCCATAAGCCCTAAATTTATGGACAGAAATTGGATGTTAATCAAGTACTGCAAATGTGCCATAACAGGAAGAGTGCCAAAGATGATGTGGGTTTTTTGTGGTTTTTGTTTTGTTTTCCTGTTCTAGGCATGCACTGACCTGTCACCAGTATTATCTACAGTTGCGGAAGGACATCCTGGAAGACAGGATGCACTGTGATGATGAGACAGCCTTATTATTAGCATCTCTAGCTCTCCAAGCCGAGTATGGAGATTACCAGGCAGAGGTATGCTATCAATTTTCCCTTTGAGAAACTGTGGTCTTGCTGCTTAATTAAAGAATGAACTGTGAGCTGCTGCACGTGCTTCACAGCTCTGCCCTGGACTGGAAGCTCAGCCGATAATGCTGTTGGCAATTTTTGCTTTGAGCAAGTTCCTTTACTCTAGTGCAGGGCTGTTGCAGAATCTAGTTCAACATCTGAGTGTTGAACCTTCTCTCTTCAGTGGACGTGTTGCGATTTTCAAAGGGAAGGTTGCAAAAACGACAGAACTTATCTACATGTAGATAAGCAGGCACTTCTTTATTGCAGCGCTGGGAAGCTTGGAAATCACCCAATGCTTCGAATACATCACCAAAATTTAGCCTATTTATACACTTTTTGTGCAAAGTCAGGATCCTTAACATACTTTAACATATTTTAACATAAACATGCATACTATGACCGCTATTAATTTTGACATTTACAATGATTGATTTAGCCCTTATTAATATTCTTATATCGATATGATTATTGGTTATTCTGTTGATTATAACTCCTGATATACAAGTTAAGGTGAGATATGTGATGTTTCTATGTTACTATCACAAAACATAAGATAAAAGGGTAGGGAGGTAAGTTCGGAACATTCCAGGAAGGTAGGGAAGCAGGCACAGAACATCTCCAGGGAGGAAGGGAAACAAGCATAAAATATTCCCCGTCAGTTTCGCAACTTGTATCAGCTCTACTTCTAGCCAAGGCCTACACACTATTTCTTAGCATAAGTAAGGTTTTTAAGGTTTTATATTCCTTATGCTAATATAAGTCAATTAACTATTTTAATTAAAATGGTGATTGATTAAAATGATAATTAGTTATTCATTAGCTCCTTAAAACTTAAATTTGATTACAACAGAAGTAGTGTCAGGCTTGAATAGGGAGAAAGCGTATGTGAAATAAATTAAGCTCTGAGTCAGGGTTGAGATTCTGAATCCCTCCTCTTCCTCAGTTGTTAAGTACAATTTTCTGTAAAATGAACATATGTGCTCTATTCATGCTCATTGAGTAGGATTTGGAGATGTCACCACAAAAATGTTTTGTATCGTAGGTGCATGGCATGTCGTATTTCAGACTAGAACACTACGTCCCGGCTAGAGTGATGGAGAAACTAGATCTGTCCTACATCAAGGAAGAGCTGCCAAAATTGCATAGCGCTTACGTGGGTGCATCTGAAAAAGAGACAGAGTTAGAATTTTTGAAGGTAAGTGGGCAGCAGTTTGATTCCTTAATCTGTGAGTTAAAAAATTTGTTGTGGGAACATGGGTTCACTGATTTCAAGTGAAAGCACAGGAAAACACTCAAGTTTTGAATAATGCTGAAAGGAAGAAAGCTGAGAAGACACATCATTACAGGCGAAAAGAAATCATAATAGAAGAGAAGGAAGTCCTTTCACTGTTTTTTGCAATCAGTAGTCCTCCTGATCTAGCTCAAACTAGTTAAAAGCAATTACTGGTGCTTGTGTTTACTCTAAACAAAGCTATGTTTAAGAGGCAGCACACCCTACATTCCCTATATCCTTTGTTTGCTCTTTTGGAAGGAAAATATATATAAATTACAAAAAGCTTTGTTACAACCAATACTATTTATTATGCTGATATGAGGCAAGTCAGAAGCATTACCAGGTAGACTTCCTTGTGCAGTTTCTATGTAAGATGATAGGAAAACTGTAATCAGAGATTTATTTAGTTTATTCTAAAAGGACTCATTAAGAAATGTAATTATGGAATTTCCTGCTGTTGCTTATGAGATGGTGATCAGGTCCTGCCTTGATACAATGGCTGCAAACAAGTTTGGGATGTGATGGTTTGCTGCAGAAACGCTGAATAACCGTTACAGTGTAGTTGCACAGTGCACTGTAATTGCACAGTCCATTTAAAAAGGTGATGGAAGAGGCACTCAGCTGGCTTTGCCCCTTCTAAGGCTATTGCTTGTTTGGCAGAAGTGGTCTTGTAACTTAACCACAGTAGACGAGAGCTGAAGGACTTGATACTACTAAACCTAGCCTGGCTGGGGTTGGGGAGAGCATTTAGGTCCCCTCTTTTGAGTCATTACATCAATCCCTTATGCCAGTACTGAAGAGACAGCAGCAGTGCAAAGTGAGGGAAACTGCATCTTTGGCAGTTATGATGCCTTAATATGATCACAAAATTGCAGTCCTAGTCTAATTCTGTGTTTAAGAAATGTGTCAGTAACAAGTACATCTGGCTAGTTAGTTTGTTGTCAACAACCGATTTGTACAAGTTTGATTTATTCGTAGAATCATAGAATGGCCTAGGCTGGAAGGGACCTTAGAGATCATCTAGTCCAACCTCCCTGGCATGGGCAGGGATGCTTCTCAACTAGATCAGGCTACTCAAGGCTCTGTCCAACTTGGCCTTGAACACCACCAGGGAGGATTCTTCACTCTCCCAGACTCAGCCAATACCCGCTGTGATTTGGGTGGTGTGGTTCAAGTGGTTGCTAGTGAAGACTGAGGCAAAAAAGTTGTTGAATATTTCAGCCTTCTCTGTGTCCTAAGTAACCACATCACCTGTATCCTTCCAGAGAGGCCCCACATTCTCTCTCGTTTTTCTTTTTTCTGTTACGTACCTGTAAAATCCTTTTCTGTTATTTCTAATATCACTGGCCAGATTTGACTCGGTCAGGACTTTAGCTTTTCTAACCTGGTCTCTGATTACAGGAGCAACTTCCTTGTAATCATCCCAGGTTACCAGCCCCTGCTTCCACGCTTTGTATGTTTCCCTTTTGTATTTGATTTTAGCCAGGAGTTCTTTGTTTATCCATACAGATCTCCTGGTGTTTTTGCCAGAACACATTCACATGTGTTCTTGTTTCATACTTTTGTTATTTGATCTTGATAAATGGTAGGTTCCTTTGCTGTAGTGTTTGTCAAGTCAGGAGATACTACCAAGACTCAGAACCCTTCACAGCAGCTGATGTGTCTGTTGTCACATCTATAAACTGTGGAATCACCAGGCAGAAGGGAAACTTTTTTGTCCTAAAATCCAAATATATGTATGTGTGTGTACTAAAATATTTATGTGAAGGTATAATATTTACATTAAGGTAGAAAAAACTTGTAATAGCCTTAACTTCGTATTCTTAGACATTTCATTGCATTCATCTGTACAGTTATGTCAGAGACTCACAGAATATGGGATTCATCTTCATCATGTGTTGCCTGAGAAGAGATCTCAAACAGGTATCCTTCTGGGAGTGTGCTCCAAAGGAGTTGTTATTTTTGAAGTTCACAATGGTGCACGCACACCTGTACTACGCTTCCCATGGAGAGAGACAAAGAAAATATCCTTTAGTGTAAGTCAGTCTCTTTTCCTCTGTGTGTCTATGTCTGTGTCGCCAGATACTGGTTTTCTGTGTTTGTTATTTTTGCAGAATAAGCTGCTGGTTTACAGTGTAATCTGACTACATTTTGTGTGGCTGAGCTATGTTGTACTATGGGATTGAAATGGGAGTTTTGGTGCTTTAAAGATAATATTTTTTAATTATTTTTTTTTCCTATTTATTAACTTGTATTCTGTGCTGCTGAGGGTCCAGCCTCAGAAGAAGATTTAGCACCTGAGGATTTCTGGGCAATCTGTCCCTCCTGCCATATGGGACACAAGTAGTAAATGAGCACCTGCGTGAGAATTATGCATTAGATGACTGGGTACTGGCACGTGGCAGCACTCAGTGTAACTAGGAGATGCACCTGTGTTGCTTTTAAGTTGTTACATTTCAAAGAGTAGTTAAGTTAAACAAAATAAATTATAGAGGCTGACACTTGAGCTGGACAATACCAGCCAACTTTAGCGGGTACACCATAATGTGGTGGTCGTATGTCAGTTTTTAATGAGGTGTTGAGCTTTGAATGCTTACCTCATACAGGTATTGAGAACAGTACTTCTAATTCTTTCTGATAACTTATTGAAAAGTTACAGAGTATTTCATCTGTGATACGATTTTGAGTAGCATTGGTAAATTGAAGTTTAAAAATAAATTTAAGACCTGGAACATTAACTGGTGGATTTCATAATTAGATGGGCATCTAGTTCTTTTTCTCAAAAAAGAACCATCTCAGATAGCCCAGAAGTAGCTTTGCAGTGCTACTTTGTAAATCTCAAATTACTTTCAACTCCTGTTTTAACAGAAATCTGTCCGATCAGTGCATTTTGCTTCAGGAAAGTTTGAATGCTGCAACTGTGCACAAGTGAATACAAAATTCTTTGTAGGCTAAAAGAAATCATTGTCTTCAACCATTTTCTTTCTCCATTCTTCAGAAGAAGAAAATAACTTTGCAGAACACATCAGATGGTATCAAGCATGCATTTCAGACTGACAGTAGTAAGACTTGCCAGTACCTTTTGCATCTCTGCTCGTCCCAGCATAAGTTTCAACTACAGATGAGAACCAGGCAGAGCAACCAAGACACTCAGGACATTGGTAAGGACTGTGATGCTGCATTGGTTTTTAACAGCAATCTATATGTATTTTTGTAAGAAGAGCTAAACTGGAGCTTCAGGAATCATGCTGTTACATATGTGAAGCTCCGTATTTGGAGGGTTTATACTATAAAGTGAATCTACTAGCTAAGTTTCTGTAAGAGGGGAGCCAGAGAAAGGGCAGATCACACAGAGCTGGCACGCTCTAATGTGGCTCCTTTAATATAAAAGGAATCTAAAAATAGGTCACTTCCCATTTGATTAATGGCTTTTGCCTTTTTTCAGAAGGAACTTGAAGATATTTCTATAATAAGATTCTTTTGCTTACTGTGAAATGACTTAGTTTGATAGTGGTGAATTACAGATGAAGTGGTGTGATCACACGAGGAGAAATACAGTAGGGAGGAATCCATGATGCTGCATCTGCAAGCTGTGGGTGTAGGTGTCTCTGTTCCAGTTGATGCTTGGTGGACCTAGTAAGCAACAGCATTGATGCTAGTCAGTTTTCTTCAGAATTGTCATCTATGTGTATAACAGAAGGGTGAAATAGAAAATATTGACAGGAGAATGCAGTCATTGAAAAAAACCATCTGTACTAATTTCTTCGCTATTTGGAGCGGAGCTCACTTTGCTGGCTGGCCTTCAGCACAGCCTGGCGGTGCTATTTTGGTCAGTCTGCCTACTCATTCTTTCTTTGTTCCCTGTTTTTATCTGTCTGCATTCCAGTCGCTGTTAATCCAGACTTCCAGCAGTGCAGCTGGGATGGAGTTTGCCCCAATTGCTGTGGAGATTGTGATCTCCAATTTATTTTTTTTTAAAAAAAGGGGGGGAGGTTAAGGCATGTGGCAACTGTGTAGCCTGTTTTCCTATTCTGCTGGACTCAGCCAACTTAATGCAAAGAAATGGGATCAAGTGACTTAAAGCCTTTGTACCATTTTCTAACTTAGTGCTTGCTCATGCTGAATCGCAAAGAAAGCAGTATAGTAAAGGCTTTCTTGGCTAGGCAAACTTGGATGCTCTTACAGATGCAATGGATGTTGTGCTTTGGGAGTCTGGAAAATAATAGTTGGCGTCTGTGCAGTGCAGATCGCTTGGAATTCAGACATCTTGAATTTCACCCATCATTAGTAAACGGAAGCAAATAAATCAGTATTATGGTTAATTCCATTACACTTGGTTATTAAAAGTAAAACCAATTCAAACAAAGTTTGGTTTTGTCATAACTTTACTGATCTAAATTGATGAGCCATGTTTCTCTTTCCTGCAGACATATGTATATGCGTATAGCAATAGAATTACTAGAATAATATTTTTTTAAAGAGAAAGCATTGTAATATAGGTGAGAGAAAACAATGATGAAGCAGCTAGTTAAAATAGCATGTAAGTAATGCTTGCTTTTGTTAGAGCGGTGAAATCCCAGGCAGCATTTGGGAAGTATTATTCTTGGCCTGCAGATGCATCAAGTATTTTATTAATTTTTTTTCCAGAGCCCTTAAAATAGTAAAAACTGGAGATTGGAAGCACTTAACAAAACATTAAAGAGAAGGCAGGTGACAGTATTATTAACTCAAGGCTGGTCACCAGAGGTGTATATTTTAATGGTTCATTACTTAAGGATTTATTCTGGGTTAACAGCACAGTGAACAGAAGCAAGTTGCCTGTAATTCTTGCAGTGTTTGTGATGTGGAGTAGGAGACTTTACAAGTTTAACATGGTTTGGAAGATTGTTTAGAAAAACAGTATTACAGTGTCTTGTAAGTCACACCTTGATTTCAGCCAATGAAAGGAGAAAATACTTCGCGACAAGGGAATTGTCATTGCTTGGCGTGCGTAACGATGGTGAATGAGGTTTCATGAAAAAAAACCAACAGAGGATGGAGGCGTAGGGGAAGACACTTTATAGCTCCTGTAATGTACCATGATGTGTTTTTCACTTAGTGCACCATGTCTTCAGTGGCCTGAGAGAAACCATTTTAACACACACAAATCTAATAGAAAGAATTAGGTTTGGGAAATAAAAGCAAAATGCCTCTTGAATAACATTCTTTCTGCATGAATAGAAAGAGATGAGACACAAGGTTTTTGAAAAACCCAACCAAGCTAACAATATTATGGTACCTAGGAAAGAAGAAAAGCAATAACACGAGGAATGATGGTTTCATTTTTGCCAGCCTCTGTGGCCGTGCAGTGAACAGAACCAAGCACTGACTTTTAAGATGAGTGTTTGGATTCCTGGAAATGCATATAGAAAACCACAAAGATGAAGTGAGAGTTAAGTCAGCCTTACAAAGGATGAGTTTTGAGCATGTGAGAATTTTCAATTAAGGCGTTGGCAGGAAGTATGAAAGGCCTCATATCTACATGGATAACAATGTGACAATGTTAATCTGAAATCCATAGGGGAGTCCTGTTTGGTATTTGTAGAGCGTAAGTATGATGTCAAGAGAAGAGCTCTTTGAATATTTAGAGGGTAGTCTTCCCCAAGATGGGAACCCAAGAGCAAGTGTCATTGATAACTTCTGTCAGAGTCAGGGAACTGAAATTTAGTGCTCTCTGTTCTGATCAAGTGCAAGCATTCTTAAGTAGCTCATCTAGTTCATCTGATGGCTACAGCTGGAAGGAGATATTTGGTCTGGGTGAGAAAGCGGTAGTTGTGTACTAATTCACCTTTTAAAAGGAAAAAAAACTTTCCACAAATAAATCTGCTCAATCTGTATGTTACTGAGAAAAGCCTGAGTTACTGTTGCAGTTGATTCTTGCCCTAGGTATTGGGGGAAGGAATGTCTTTTGGAACGGCCAAATATGCTCTTTAATGCTGAATACTTCAACATTTAGTAAAGCTGGATGATATGTACCTAAAAGTAGCGTTTTCCTTTTGAGTTACACAGTACGTCTTCGTAAAACAACTTCCCTAGCTGTATGTAGAGTTTAAAAAAGCCCTAGTTAACTCTAAATCAGAAATATTTACGCAGTTAAGGATTGCTTTTCCTCATGCTTCCCTGTGAACTTGACTTCAAGACGTCAGTGAAGTTTATGAAGGGTTCAGATGGCCTGGTTTCTTTTAAAGGCTCTAACCAGCAAACATGTTGCCACAGTTTATCAAGTTTCTGTGTGAAAGCCAAGCCACAGGAACTTAACTGCTAGCCTTAGGAGGCAGTTAGGCTAATTGAAATGAGACTTGCTTAGCTTTGCTCTGAATTAAGAGGGGTTTAGGCTAAGCTGAATTTACTTTCAGCTAAGAACATCCACCCAGGCAGTTCCCACGACTCAGCTGACAGTAATTTAATTACAGTCCAAAACTTGTTTCTCTCTGCTGCTTAAGGGAATCCTAGTTCCTGAATCAAAAAGTCTGGAAAAGCCCAGTCAACACTTTCTCTTCTGTGCTAAAACATTTAGGATGTTTCTGGCAGGGGTAGTCCCCAAGTGCACCTGAGTAAATGGATGCTCTTTAAGCAGGTAGATATGCTGCCAAGCTCCCATGGCTTTGCAGCTGTACTGTAGGTGTTTCGGAGGCTCACATGAAGAAAGCTCAGCAACGGATGTGTCAAAATTTGGTAGGATCTTATAGTGTAGAGGTGAGGGAACCCTGTTTGTTCAAGTTCTGGAAAAGACTTGTATAAGCAGGTTAAAGGAAGTATAGTCTCCAAGGTCGCTTGGCTTGAGGTTATTATTTGCTTTGCAGAAAAAGGTGATGTGCCGGTATATAAGACACAGCAGTTTAACAGGCAATATGAGTCTTCATACTAGTAAGAGAATAAATATTCTACTATTCTGTGGTTTTGAACATCAGTGGAGCAGATGGTCAGGTTAACGAAATGTCATTAACTCCAAACTTTTCTTCGTGAGCAAACTACGTGGTGGTTGTTTATATGTACCTGATGATAGTACATCTAGAAAAAATATGTTTTGTGCGAGCTAATTGTTCAAAATACGTGCTTTACACAAGGAGGTCACACTAGCTTTTCTGTATAACTTAATTTTTTTTGATGTTTTTGCTTTTAAAAAAAAACACAGAAAGGGCTTCCTTTAGGAGCCTAAACCTTCATGCGAACTCTGTCAAAGGTTTCAACATGGGACGAGCAATCAGTACCGGTAGCCTGGCCAGCAGCACTTTGAACCGACTTGCCGTTCGACCACTGTCTGTGCAAGCAGAGATTCTGAAGAGGCTGTCCTGCTCTGAGCTCTCACTCTTCCAGCCGCTTTCTGGCTCTTCAAAGGACAAGAATGAGAAGTCTCAGTGGGAGGAAAGACCCAGGGTTATGAGCAAGTCATTTCATGACCTGAGTCAGAGCCACATCTCGGTTAACCCCCCAAGGAAAAATATTATTACTGCTTTGGACTCTTCCCCCCAAAAAATAGAAGACATAATGGGAAGAGTCTTTCAGCAAATGCCAAAATTTGATACTGGATCAGCAACAGGAGCATTAAAACTGAGCAAGTAAGAGTCTCTCTGACAGCCCTGCCATGTCTTTGTGTACAGTCAATGTACATTTTATATCAGTTTTGATTTATTATTCACACTATTATTTTATTACATTGATCCTTCCCTCTGTTTGGTTCCCCTTCTTTCCTTCTCCCCTTTAAGTTCAAAATCTCATGCAGGTCTAAGTAGAAGCCCTGAAAGAAAGAAAAATGAATCAGACTCATCATCTATTGAAGATACCGGTCAAGCCTATGTTGTAGGTCAGCATGCAAAAAATAATATTGCTGTATTTACTAACTTAACCTCTAAAATTGCTTTGGATGTAATACTTTGATGTATTTATTAACTGATGCTAATATTTCAATCTGAAAGAGGGATCTGAGTGTCGCAGATTTAAGTAATCCAGGCCAGTTGCCCTTTGCTTCTGAATAATTGTTGCAATGAATAAAAAAAAAATCCTCCTTTGGACAACACTAGTCAGGTGTGCAAAGTAGTAATACTTGACAGTAAAAGCTGTTCCAGAAAACATTTTCCACTTTGTTACTTTAGAGTGTCATTTTATTGTATGGATCTTTTTATAATTTGCTAGTCTTCACAATCTGTTTGTCAAGCTTGAACTCTTTTAGTGTTTTCTATGGAAAAAGTCAAATTTTGGAAGTGGACTCAGTGTGGCGTAAACTGGCTACTGGCTAGTACCTCTGAGCTGTAACTCCTTGGTTCTTTTTTTGTTTGGTCTCATTTGGCTATAATAAAATAAGTAAAGTTTTTTTTTGCAGTGCATTGAGTATTTCACAAAAACACTCTTGTAATGAGCCAGGCCAGATGTATGTTCTCCATTTCCTTGGCAAGGACTGGATTGCTCACAAGTAGTCTTACTAGGCAGGAAGAATAAAGATTTTGTGTTAAAAAAAGATGCAGAGCAGTTATAGACTTCAACTCACACTTTGGATTATTGTACATTAATTTTTAATATTTCTATGTTACTAGGTTCTGGTTATAGGAGATTCCCTGATAAAATAATGGAAACTACAGTGGCTGAAACATTTGCAGGCTTAACTTGCTTTTATTGCTTTGATTAAACTATTGATTAGCTACGGAACATCAGATAAAGTGGAAGAACGTTAAGTTTATATACTCACGAAAATAGTGTGATATACACTTACCATATCTGCCCTCACTACACTTGAAACCAGGACTGACTTGGGAACTATGCTTTTTCAGTACAGAGAGTTTAAGTTACTGCAGGGTCAGATGAGGCATAGCAGTACATTTATTATTTTATCCTCTTTAAAGTATGGTCATATTTTCTTGGCATTGATCATTCCAAAGAAAATATGGTTCTAATGCAAACCAAATTAAACAGAAATACTTGGTTCAATATGCTTGTTACTACAGCAACTTATTTGTTATTGTGCAATATCTTAAGAGACTACTGTTGTGTTGGTTTATTAGGTTAGGCATATTCATCCAATCCTGTTAGAAAATTTAATCTTTGAGTTTCTTAAAGATGCATTAATTTTATCTGAACTTAACACCCATTCTAAAGGCCAAATCTATGTCCTTTCTTTAATTCTTTGCCTTTGCATGAGCTACCATCTATCTGAACCTTGAACTACAACCAAAGTACATGAGTAATTTGGATTTGCTAATCCTGGAGTAGTTTCATTTTTTAATTTTTAAAATAAGTTTATTAATTTTTAAAATAAGTAAGTAATCTGGTATGGTGAATGAGCTCATGTGTACTGTGTAAAGTCTGAAGAGCTTCTTGGTAACTTTCATATTAAAGCAATGTTGGTAACAATGCCTCATATTTCCATCATGTCACAGGTGTTAGCATGAATACATCGGGAAATCTTCCATCATTGACGCTGCTAAAAGGCAGTGGTAAGTTGATAAACAATATGCCTATAGAATTGATTCAGTCAATTTGTAAAGCACTTGTCTGTTTCTTCACTAACCTTAAGTCAAATATCTGTCTCAGTCAGCTGACTAGGACCTTTTCCTAAATACCAGTCTTACTATGTCTTTTGGATTGCTTCTTGGAAGAGATTTTGACATGTGTGCAGTATTTAAATACACATAGTGTCTGTTCAGTTTGAGACTTGAAGGGTGCTATTACCTAACATACCATCCTCTTGAAAGCTTGTTTTCCTTACTTGTGATATTACTGTTTCTGTAGAGCCTGAGAAGACTGTTTGCTTTTTAGTTCTTTTACTCTTTTGGTTTGACTTGGTTTTGTGGGAGAAAAACTTCTCCAGGTGGTGCAGTGTGTCGTACTCTTGCACCATTGTTTTCTGCTTGTACTAGCGTATAGAATCATAGAATCACAGAATGTCAGAGG